TGCTGAAACTAGCTAATAAAACCTAATGAGCGTGCTTGCTTTTCTGTGTTTGCTTGGCCTTCTCCTTTCCTTGGCTGCAGTTCTAATGCATCAGCTGTTACGCTGTAAAGCCGCACCAGACTTTAAGAGAGCTTTTTTGTTTAGCCATTATCCGTGCATGTCAGTTGTCACTGGTTTGTTCAAGTCTAAAGAAACCTGAACAAACGAACCCAGTCCTAAGGGCAGGAATGTGAAGGTGCAGAGGAAAAGCGTTGCTTAATGGCCACAGTTACATGAAAGAGAAGTTCCCCTCATAAAGCTGCTGCAGTATTGCAAAGGTGTGAGTCCGTGATGTCACCCCTATAACAGCTTTGCCGTGTCCCCACAGTCACAAATTTACCTGGGCTTTCACATTGACTCCTTCAAAACTCCCAGCCCGCTCACCGGTGTGCAGCTGCCGCAATGTGGTTTGTCCTGGGGGGCATTTCCTCTGCTCGTGCATCCACATTGCCCACACTGGCTCTTTTGCGTTGCTCCGTGGGGTCAGGGAAGGTAAAGGCAGAGAGGAAACGTTATTGTGAGGAATGCAAAATGCTGAGGGCTTTTAGTGGTAGTAAAGGTCACGTCTCTGCTTTGTTTAAGCAGAACCAAGCACTTAAATACAGAAAGGACTGGAAGGAGGAATGATGTAGACTTCTGGAGGAAGCAGCAATTGGGTCAATGCACTCTTTTAAACTCAGCAGCTGGTTTAATGAAAAGAAAGGTTAGGACATTTTAGCCCTGCTGTATTCCTTCTGATGTGCTCAGATACGCCTTTTGTTTTAAAACACTGTGAATGTATCTGATTTTGAATATGAGCTGTCTTTAGTAAAAAAACCTTTTCTTGGTCCTTCTGAATTTTTCTTTTTTTTTTTCCTTCCAAACATTTTCTTCCCCAAAATGTGTGTACATCTTGTAGCTTGCTCAGTTCAAACAGTCTCCTGGTAGTTACTGCTCTTGAAAGATTGAATTGCTTTTGTGGTATCTATAAACTCCTTAGTTTAACCACACAGTGAAGTTGTTTCATTTTATAACAAAGACCTTACTTTCTTGCCTAATAGAGGTTTCAGCATGTTGCTGTCTTCCTTGGTACTTAAACCCACTTCCATTTATATTAGATAGTTGACTTTCCTTCTGCAAAGTCAGTAAGGCCTTTCTTCCCCTTTCCAGAATTGCAGTGAAGGCTCATGCAGTTTCATTAACATTTCATCTATTTTACAGCATTCTGCAGGTTGTCGTCTCAACCGATTGAGCTAAATTAGAGGAGAATTTTGAAAGAAAGATTTTTCAAGTCTCCTCTCTTAATTCTGGGGAACACCTTTGTGGGGCAGAGCATCCCACTGAGAACCATGCCTCCAGGAGTTCCCCCTACATTGGCCACTAATTCATCTGGTGAAAAAGAAAGCACAGCTATGTGGAAAATGGAGGAGAGAGTTTCAGGAATTGAAACTGGGTGCCTTGCTGAGAGGGCATAGCATGGCCTCAGTACAGCTCCCTCCTTTGGTAGGCTAGATGGCAATGCCAGGAGGTGAGGACACCGTGAATTCTGGTAGAATTTCACAAGTCACATCCAAATAACAAACATGGGAAAACGTCTTCTGCTGTCTCCCTGTACAAGTGTAGCTGTCTGAATGTCTGCCTGAATCTTTCCTATTTGTCAAGTGGAAATATAAGCTGTGCACTTTTAGAAATAGTAATGAAACCTGTATGCGGTGGGGTTTTCTTTCCTTTTGGTTTGCTGAGGCTTGTAGTATAATGTCCTTCTACGCTGTAATCCTTGAAACATAACAGCCAATTGGTACCTGCCATTTGTACAGGAAAAACAGAAAACCTGAGAGCTCCCTTCGAGGGCTCAGCAACAAACCCAGGGATGATTGCACTGGCTCTCTACTCTGCTCTCTTCTCCTACTCAGGATGGGACACGCTCAACTACGTCACCGAGGAAATGCAGAACCCTGAGAGGTAAACAGGTGCTTTTCCACTAGTAGAGTAAGATTGTTTCTGGTTTATGACTGTTTTATCATGTGATCTTCAGCATTACTGTTTATGGAAAAAACGTTTCATTTTACTAAAGATGAAAGGTTAAGTAAAAAATCAGAAAGTCCACAGTAGCACTGGAAATATCATCTCCTCCCCTCTGTAGTTATGTCCACCCTGTGGGAGTGGTGTGCCTCACCTACTCAGATGGAGTCCACCTTGTCTTGGGACAGACACACTTTAAGAGTCAGGAAAAAAATGCTATGATCATGAGAACACCTAAGTGTGCATTTAAATCTCATTGCTTAAGTGCTCTCTTAAATTGCTTCATAGTAAAGACAATATATATAAAATGTGCAGGTATAAATGTACAGATTTTTCTCTAAAACTTGTGACAGACCCATAAGGAGCCAACTAAGCTGCTTATGGAATTGTTCTACATGCAGTGGCTGCATGTTATTTTGTAACCCCATGATTAAAAAATTATGGATTACAAAAAGTGGTGGAGGTATCCATTCAGAAATGTTTGAATTTGGGAACAATCTTCTATTTAAATATTACTTACTCAAAGAACATGAAATAATTGTGCCATTTTCCCTTTGCAGGAATCTACCTCTTTCTATTGCAATTTCAATGCCTATTGTGACTATTATTTACTTGCTGACTAATATAGCATACTATGTAGTGTTGGACATGTCAGTTCTCCTCACAAGTGATGCAGTGGCTGTGGTAAGTTCATAAAATAATTAAAGCAAAAGTTACTGTACAGATGATACTGTGAAAGAATCTCAGGTAGCATCCTTCTTGGCAAAACCGTTGAAATATTTCCACGCTGAAGGTTGCTGCTTTGTTTTAAACTTTATTTTCATGTAAGAGTACCAGTGTATTAGAAGGTGCATATAAAGAATATATCCAATAAATCTGCTCTTGTAAAATCCTTTTATACACTCTGTAAATCCTGCTCCTGACGGTACTCCATTGTAGTAGCAATTGTCCATTGCTTTTGCCGGGGCCAGACAAAGAGCTATGGAAGGTCTGGGTGGTTTAAGAAACAGGGGGTTTTGCTATCATTCTAATGTACAGAGTGTGATGTTTAATGCTGCAGGATCACAGCAATATTTTCAACACAAAAATGTACAGTGAAATGCTTTTTAAAACCTTATCAATATTTTGTACAAAAGTACAATTATAACTCATGTATTACTACAGTCAGGATTTGTCAGAATACATTAAAGCCAATACATCTTCTTCTGTTATCTCATTGACTTGATCTAGGCTTAGAATTTTTTTTTAAAAATCTTTTTTAATGTATCTGCCATTTTTATTTTGATACCAATCTGTTTTTCCAAATTCTCATTTCCCAAGTCATTATCACGTGTCATAAGAAAGCATGGGCTATGACACTATGTTTGGGCTGGTGTGTTTTCATGAGAGTTTCTCAGGATTGTCCATATGCTTAATGTAGTGGGCCTCACTATTATTTTCTTTTTCTGTTACAGACATTTGGCGATGAAACCCTTAGTTATGCTAAGTGGATAATTCCTATAGCAGTGGCCATGTCTTGCTATAGTGGCTTAAACTCATCAATAATTGCAGCATCTAGGTATGAAATATAAGATTTATTTTAAATAATTGAAAAGGAATCCTTTATTATTAATCTGCATTTTTTACTACTGCATCGTAAAAGTGACACAGTCAATTTTTGCCATGTCAAGGTGTTCATTTATGATGGAAGGATTGTTATGATCTGATGTGTCTTCTCGTGATTAGCACCAAGAGAGCAGCATTTACAATAGAATGATAAAATGTCCTGTCCCAGTGGAAGCAGGGACAGGTGTCCTGGGAAGAGTACAAGGAAGCTGCCCGGTTGTGTAGGGAGAGGGTCAGGAAGGCCAAGGCACAGCTAGCACTGAATTTGGCAAGGGATGTAAAGAATAACAAGAAGGGCTTCTACAGGTATGTCAACCAGAAAAGGAAGGTTAAAGAAAGCGTATCCCCCCGATGAACAAGAATGGCAACCTAATATCAACACATGAGGAAGAAAGCAGAGGTACTCAACAACTTCTTTGCCTCAGTCTTCACACGCAACCTCTCTCCTCACCCCTCCCAGGTCGATGGACTACAAGAAGGGGACCAGGGGGGTAAAACCCCTCCCAATGTAAGGGAAGATCAGGTTCAAGACCACCTGAGGAACCTCAATGTACACAAGTCTATGGGACCTGATGAGATGCACCCCAGAGTCCTGAGGGAACTGACTGATGTAGTTGCCAAACCACTCTCCATGATATTTGAAAAGTCATGGAAGTCAGGTGAAGTCCCTGCTGACTGGAAAAAGGGGAATGTTGTGCCCATTTTTAAAAAGGGAAGAAAGGAGGACCCTGGGAACTACCGACCTGTCAGTCTCACCTCTGTGCCTGGGAAGATCATGGAACAGATCCTCCTAGAAGCTATGCTCAAGCACATGGAGGACAGGGAGGTGATTCGAGACAGCCA